ATTGCAGCCATGAAATTAAAAGACACTTACTCCTTGGAAGGAAAGTTATGACCAACCTAGACAGCATATTAAAAAGCAGAGACATTACTTTGCCAACAAAGGTCCATCTGGTCAAGGCTATGGTTTTTCCAGTGGTCATGTGTGGATGTGAGAGTTGGACTATAAAGAAAACTGACTGCAGAAAAATTGATGCTTTTGAACTGTGGTGTTGGAGAAGACTCTTGAGAGTCTCTTGCATTGCAAGGAGATCCAACCAGTCCATCCTAAAGGAGATCAGTCCTGGGTGTTCATTGAAAGGACTAATGCTGAAGCTGAAACTCCATTACTTGGCCACCTGATGCAAAGAGCTGACTCATTTGAAAAGACCCTGATGCCAGGAATGATTGAGGGCAGGAGGAGAAGGGGACAACAGAGGATGAGATGGTTGGATGGCATTGCCAACTCGATGGACATGAGTTTGAGTAAACTCCGGGAGTTGGTGATGGACAGGGAAGACTGGAGTGCTGCAGTCCTTGGGGTCACAGTCAGACACGACTGAGCGACTGAACTGAACTGAACTGAATGTGATGCTGTTAGAAGGTGGAGCCTTTAGAAGGTGATTAGGTCATGAAGGCTCATGAACAGAGTTAGTGCCCTTTGAAAAGTGGCCCAAGCCAGTTCCCTTGTCACTTCTGCCAAGTCAGATTACAGTGAGAAGATGGCTGTCAATGAGGAAGTGGGTCCTCAGCAGACCACATCTGCTGGCGCCTTGCTCTTGGACTCCCCAGCCTCCAGAACTGTGAGAAATAAGTGTCTGGTATTTATAAGTCATGAAGTTTATGGTATATTTGTTATAGCAGCTGGAACAGACTAAGACAACCTGTATCGTGACAAGGCATCGTGTGATTCATGTGCACATTAACTTTTAATAAGTCCTGCTTTATAATAAGAGTTTTAAGAAATAAGGCCCTTTTAAATAGTTTTTGCTCTTTCCAGATTTGAGATACTTATTTTTTCCACAACACTTGCCACAGGCCACACCAGGGCAGTGGTAAGCCCAAGTCTTAGTCCCCAGAGTGATCCCCCGATTCTAGTCACTGGACCTAGAATGACTAAGTCCTTTCGGCCAGCTCCTGGCAGCTGTCAGCTTCTCCTGCCTTTGGGCGAGGCTTTGGGATTAGGGTTTCTGTAGGAAGTCAGTAGCACACTCCACTTGAAACCTGGTTCCCTGGTGGCTCAGATGGTAAAGAATCGACCTGTAATGTGGGAGACCTGGGTTCAATCCCTGCGACAGGAAGATCCCCTGGAGGAGGGCATGGCTATCCACTCCAGTATTCTTGTCTGGAGAATCCCATGGACAGAGGAGCCTGGTGAGCTACAGTCCACAGGGTCGCAAAGAGTAGACAGGACTGAGGGACACCACTTCCTGCTTCCTTCCTTCTGCTGCTATCTGTCCTGGTGCTTTATATGTATTGTCATGTTAACCCTCACAAGACCCGTATAAGAAGGCATTACTATGCCCATTTTCAGAGAAGTGCCCAAGGTTACATGGTTAGAAAACACACAGGTGGGAATTGTAATCAGCGTATAATTATAAATCCTTCCTTCTATGTGATCTCCTGTCACCCACTATAGCCTGCAGTTCTCTTGTCTAATTCAGCTAGACCAGTTGCAGACATCCTTCTACCTCTAAAATCTTTGGATTCCTTGATTTAGTGAACTCTTAGGATCTTCATTGCTAATTAAGAATTCTATAATAATTAGCAATAATAAACTCTTAAAAACTCCTCTATTATGTTTTAATATCTAGCTCACAGTTCTCACATTATTTGTTACAGTTTTTAATTTTTTAAGTAGCTGTTTGTTTATCTGCCTCTTCTCCTTGAAACTATCTTCTGGGGAGGAAGGGATGGGGGTACTATGTCTTATTTATGTTTATATCCCCAGAAGCTAGTAGAGGTTTTCTACATAAATTTAGTACTCAAATATTTATTGAGTACATGACATCGGTAGACATAGAACTAGACTAGGAAACCCTCCAATTGTAGCACTCAAGTGTTCAAGTCAATATCTGATATAATCCATCATTATGATTATATCCATATATTTATATTCATAAAATAAAACCAACATTCTGTTTGCATAGTGGAAGGTTTACTTCATTCATCAGTTCTTTCAAATGGGCAGGGGTCTTCTGCTCTGCATTTCGTCTGCTCAGTGGAAGAATAAATTTGAAGAAAAGAGGCATACATGATAGTGGAACTTAATGGCAGTGTAACCACCATTGATCTAGTCACAAGTGGTGGTTTTGAGAAAAGAATGTATAAGTTTTGCACAGGGTTCTCAGTTGGTGCCCGTTTGTCCCCCTGGAGGGTATTAGACGACCTCAGGAGACATTCGTGGCTGTTGACTAGTGGAGAGGTTGTACTGGCATCGCATGGAGGCGGCCAGACATGTTGCAAAACATCCTGCAATGCACAGAACAGCCTCCAACAGAGACGTATTCAGCCCCAAAATGTCAGTGGTGCTGAGATGGAGAAACCCTGGTCTAGACAGACCCTCCAATAGAGCTAGGCTTTTAGTACATTCTGTTTGGTTGACTGCTTGGCTCGGCACATGGCCTCTGACGTCCTCGGCATCTCCATGATTGAATAAAGAGCACCGTTGTCTAATGGCGATCCGTGGCATCACGTGTCCCAGCACTGCCCCCTGAACCAGCAACAATGTGACCACCTCCAGGGCTTCCCTTTCTTCCTGGAGCCTACCAGGGCACCTACCAGCCAAACAGGTTACTCTATGTACCATTTATCTGTTTAAATTCATGCACCTCACCCATAACTAGACTACATAGTCCTTGCTAGCAGAGAACATATATATATACATTTTTCCATTGCAACCCATTGGCCACTGTTCCCCATAATTCTGCCTTAAAATGCTTTGTCACTCAGGGCATGACAATGATGTGCTTGAAATTTGTTCATCTGTAAATACTCTCTATGGTAAATTGCAATTAGACAGAATGTGAGGTGACTAGAATCATCCATTCTTCCAGCATTCTGGATAAATTAGGATTCAAATTACCTGGCATTCAGATTGTGTTCCTGGGATCAGGGTTTAGGTAAGTTTAAATGTTTAGGGTTTGAGAGAGAATTCCTTAAGCTCTGTTTTGTTCCTTAATTATCTGATTTGTGAAAATATTGTCTTTTTTAGATTTAAATAAAAATTATTTATTTATTTGGCTGCACCAGATTTTAGTTGCAGCTTGAAGGATCTTCAATCTTCTTTGCAGCATGTGGGATCTTTTAGCTGCAACATGCAAACTCTTAGTTGTGGCATGTGGGTTCTAGTTCCCTGACCAGGGATCGGACCCAGGCACCCTACAACTGGGAGAGTGGATTCTTAGGCACTGGACCACCAGGCAAGTCCCAGGATGTTGTCTTTACCTGGGAGAAAAAATGGAGACTTCACTAACACAAGAAAAAGAAAAACAAATACAAAGCTGATCTGACTAGGTAGATAGATATTTCTCTTTGGTAAGACTGTATGGAAGGTTGATGTTTAAAGGTATTTGCAGGAGGATCAGCCCTACGCTTGCATTGTAGGTAGATGTATTTGGCATCCATCTGCTTACCTCCCTGGACATCCCCCTACCTCATGGTATGCCCACTGCAGCCCAGCACTCTCAGATGTCACTGGTGCCGACGGCCAGGGAGACCATCCGAGGAGCACTTACTACTTCAGTCCTGAGACCTGCAATAGCTTGTCTGTACCAGGAGCACTTGCTTTTAAAAACAGGAACCCAAAAGAATGAATCACTAATGGCAGAATTTCAGATGTTAGGCTGTAAGGGCAGGATCGTTATTGAGAAATCCTTTCTCAATGTCCCTCAGATCACACTGTCTTTAAGTGTAAGCAGGTAAGCTGAGCAGAAAGACTTCAGGTCAGGATCCTGGGACAGGATAACAGGATTTTAAAAAATTCATATTTAGTGATTTACCTGGTGGTCCAGTGGCTAAGACACCATCCTCTCAATGCAGGGGACCTGGATGAAGGAACTAGATCCCACATACCAGATCTAAGAGTTCAAGTGTTGCAATTAAAGAACCCGCATGCCACAGTGAAGATTGAAGATCCCAGGTGCTGAAACTAAGATCTAGCACAGCCAAATAAATAAATAATTTTTTAAAAATTCATATTTAAATTTGTATTTTTTCTGTGGCTATCAACTGGTACCAAGTAACTTTAGCTTTTGTTTTCTATTTTATTTTATTGAAGTATAGTTGATTTATAATATTTCAGGTATATAGCAAAGTGATTCAGTTATACAGATGGTTTTTCAGGTTCTTTTTCATCATAGGTTATTACAAAATATTGAATATAGTTCCCTGTGCTATATAGTAGGTCCTTGTTGTTTATCTCTTTTATATGTAGTAGTGTGTATCTGTTAATCCCAAACTTCTAACTTATCTCCCCAAGTCATGCCTTTAGCTTGTCATAGGGGAAAGAAGAGAGATTCCAGGGCTGTTTGATCTTTGCAAACTTGTGTCACACTAAGAAACTCATTAACAGATCAATGACAATGCAATAATTATATTTTATTACAATCAGAAACTAGGGCTCTTAGGGCCAGGAATTTTAGTTCTTAAGCCATGTTGAGAGTGCAGTTTAGAAAATCATGGGACTTCAGATGGTGGCAATATTTACTAAGTGCTAACTATGTGTCTAGCATGTTACTTTTTTTTTTTTATCATCATCCCCATATTATGAATGAGGAAATTCAAGTTCACAGCAAATGTATACTAGAGCCAGGCCTTGAACCCACACATCCAGCCCAGGTGTCTTAGCCTCTCCCTGTTTTACTAATCCAATTATAACCAGGCCACCTCTGCTGTCCTCAGGGAACTTTCCCACTGAAGTAGAGGGCCTGCACATGATGGAGAGAGAAGACAGTTCTAATTAATGCTAATACAGCTCCTTCTTGTTTTGCAGGTTTGGGAGGTGCTCTCGGTTACCTTTTGGGCGCCATCGACTGGGCCCACTTGGAACTGGGAAGACTGCTGGGCACGGAATTCCAGGTCATGTTCTTCTTCTCCTCACTGGTGCTCACTTTGTGTTTCATTATCCACCTGTGCAGTATCCCTGAAGCCCCACTTACAGATGTTGCAAAGGACATTCCCCCACAGCAAGCCCCCCAGGACCTTGCCTCGTCATCAGACAAAATGTACGAGTATGGGTCTATTGAGAAAGTAAAAAATGGTTATGTAAACCAAGAGTTGGTGCTGCAGGGAGGAAAAACCAAAAATCCTGCTGAACAGGTAAAGATGCAAATTCCTTTTTATTTACTTAGGGAAAATACTCTTGTTCTTTCCATGTGTTCATCCTTTTAAACGTTAATCCTTGTCTTTGTTTTGCTTGATTATTTGATGTAAAAGGTTTTGTTTTCCTCAAGTTGAAATTTTGTGAATCTACTAATTGAATCTGCAAATGCCCAGTAGCTATTATCCCTTGGAATTAAAACTTTGCACCTGATAGAAAAATGTGTGCATTTCCCTCTTGTCCCTCTGCCTCTGACTCTTTGCAGACCATCAAATCAGGGAAGTTGAAGCTGGCTGTAAAATGTTAGGCCATAAGAGAAGCCTGGAATCATCCATCCTCAGGCTAGATTAGGATTATAAATTTGTTATTCCAAATTACAGCATCCCAGTTGGGAACTGGAGGAACTAAGAGGCTATTGAGATGGAGCCTTCATTTTATTTTGATCACACAGTGAATAGAGAAAATAGGAGAATCTAGGTCTCCAGAGACCTGCTGAGACCTTGGGGCTCCAGACTGCCTGTGGGAAAACATTTATACTCCCTGCTGGTATCGGGTGGGACGGAGCTCCCTTGCTCTGTGGTTCTGCAAGGCAGCAGCATGGGATTCATGGAATAGCCACACAATGGAAGCCCTTTGATCATTAGATGTGTGTGTTTTTGAAGATTTATTTAAGACATAATTTATCAAATAGAACACACATATATATACAAAATGAATGTTTTTTTCCCATTCCCTGAGAGAAGAGAGGATTGAAAATTTGCCATAAAGGATATTTACAGATAAACAATTGTTTAGCCATTGAATTCCAAAAAGACAGCATTCTTATCATGCCCTGAGTGACCAAGCATTTTAAGGTGGAATTAAAGGAAACAGTGGCCAATGGGTTGCAATTAAAAACACATATATTCTCTGCCCACAAAGAATATGTAGTCTAATTATGGGTGATTTGCATATGTTTAAACAGATCAAAGGCACATATGGTGACCTATTTGGATGGTAAATGCCCTGGTAGGCTCCAGGAAGAAGGGGAAGCCCTGGAGGTGGTCACATTGTTGCAGGTTCAGAGGGCAGTTCTAGGACATGTGGTGTGACTAGATCACTTCACCATTAGACAACGATGCTCTTTATTCAATCATAAAGATGCCAAGGATGTCAGAGTTCATTTGCAGAACCAAGTGTTCAACTGAGAGGAATTTTACACAGTGGAGATTGTGGGAAAAGCTACGCAGACACAGAGAAAAAAACAGAAAGGATATACACCCAAAATGCTCATTGAAATTATTGTCTTTGTGTGATAGGCTAACAGGTGGTCTTCATTTTCTTTTCTAAACCCTTCAGTGTATTCAACTGTAATAGACAAATATTACTTTGAAAATAAAGAAGAAATAATGTCAGGGTTAAAGGAATAAAACCAGACATAGTTTACTTAAGATAAGTAGATATGATAGATTATGCCTGCCTCTTTGCCCTCTTTTCATTGAGTGGCCCTCAAAGAGTCACACAACAGAGGCTGTCTCAGTCTGCCCCGAGGCTGTTGTGATGACTGAATGAAATCAAGTGTGTGGAAGTCTTTTGAAAAGCATATAAAACCCTCTACACCATTAGGAGAAGAAATGCATCAAATACAATTAACTTGTATCAGCATATGCCACATGCACAACACTGTAGGCTCTAAATGCTTCTATTATGTGACAAAAATATAAAAGAAAAACTACATAGAAAAAAAAAAAAAACAGTAATATATCTTAGGCTCAAAATCAAGCACCTGACTGCTATTCCAATAGTGCATCTGGGGAGCTTCCAGCTGAGCAGTGGGCGTCTCCGCAGTGTCAGGTCCTACCTATCCTTGTTTGTCAAACTCATTACTTCCCAAAATGAGGGTGGCTGTGCAATTTGAGAACTGGAATTTTTTTTTTTTTAATGGCAAGAAGCCTGAATTATTTCATTGTTGAAACTGGATACCATAAAAATCTCTATTTCCTCCCCACCATTAGTTGCTCGCTTCAACATTTAGTCTCTTTCTGAGGGTACTTTTGTGCAGTTCTGTCCCCCCCTCATGGCTCTGTTCATTTTTCATTTATAAATCCATCATGAAAATAAATAAATAAATAAATCCATCATGACCCAATCTCCAGTTGACAAATGCATGCAGTAAAACAACTCCCAACGGCTCAAAATCATTGCAAGGATTTTACTGAGGGAACTGATGAGTCACTGAACAAGATGCTAGCTGAATTTTCATTCTGAGTTAAAATATCCAGAAGGACTTTGAATATTTATATTCACAGCTTTTACAGAAAGGCATAATTTTGAAGCTTTTATTTATTTGGGGGAGAAAGAAAAAAAATTGGGTTAACAATGAAAGCAGGCTGAAATTATATATAAGGCCAGAGCATAAATTAATGTTTGAAAGAGGCTGGATACTTGCTGGTCAGATTCACTTTTTAAATTTTTGAATTTTTGGAAAGAAGGGAAAGAAATTAAAGATGAATCACTTGGTCTGAGATATGAAAATCAAGCAGTTATTCCTCAGTCTATACCGTTGTTTCTTCCTGTAGTCAAGGGAAAAAGTAATAGTTCTGCATTGGATTTCTGCTATGGTCACCATTTATTTAGACAAATACCATGTTCTACATGCAGAAAATATTTTTTTCCTTACTCCATAGTAATGTCTATGTATTTTTTTTTAATACTGAGTAAGTATAAAAGTCAGTGGAGTCATGATCATTAGGTTAAATACTATAAAATCCACAAAATAAAAAATCAACTTGTACAGCAACCCTACAATGAGTGAATGTAATTTTCTGCATCAAAGAAGTAAAAAAGAAGTAAAAGAAGTAAAAAAAAGTTATAGTAGGTTAAGAGTTATAAAACAATTTTCTCATAGTTAAAATGGAAAAGTCTCAGGAGACTATCTTGTAAATACACTAGCTAAGATCCAATTTTATTATGTCAAGATTCAGAATAGAAATCAGACAGAAAGAGAGACTCATCACCCTACCATGGTCAATGTTTATTGTCTTGGTGTCTTCAGGGCAGCTGATTTCTTAATATTCCCAAGATATTTTTCTTCTCTCATATGACAAGCTGTTAAAGCCTGTTTCTTTTGCCTCAGAACAATTGTGTCAATAGTTCAATTTTTTTCATTCTCTCAAAGCTACTGGCACCAATAAATTATAGCCTCTGGTTTTAACATAATTTAAGTCTAGGTTAAAGAATTGGGAGGGGGGCATATGTATTCATTTTACATGTGTGTATTTTTGTGTGTATGTGTATGTTCTACAATGTTCTCACCTCTGACTAGACTTAGGGCTCATTTACACATATTGACTGATGGCAGGATCCAGAGAAATAAACCAGGAGGAGGTACCTTACCCAGAGCAGGGAGCTGATTGGCTCAATGTAGTAATTTTCTACTGCAACATAATAAACCACCATGGGTTTAGCAGCTTCAAGCCACACCCATTTATTATCTCAGAGTTCTGTAGGTCAGAAGTCTGGGTGGGCTCAGTCAAGTGCTCTGCTCAGGGTCTCACAAGGCTGAAATCAAGGTGTTGGTGTAGCTGCCTTCTCATCTGGAGGTTTGAATGGGGAAGAATCAGCTTCGAGCTCATGCAGGTAGAATCCAGCTTCTTGTGGTTGTCGAGGTCCTTGTTTTCTTGCTAATTGATGGCCAGGGGTCAGTCATTTCCTGGAGGTCACACTCAAGTTCTTCCCTGTGGCCTGCTTCACCTTCAAACCCCAGCAATTCTTGTGCTTTGAGACTTTCTGGCTTCCCCTTCTGCTTCCAGCCAGAGAAAAGTCTATGCTTTTTAAAGGGTTGATGTGATTTCATTAAGGTCACCCAGATAATCTCCCTGTTCATTAACTTGAAGCCAACTGATTAGTAACCTTAGTTAGTTCTGCAGAATCCTTTTGCCATAGAATAGAACAGAATCATGAAGAGAGAGAGTATAGAGGCCATCTTGGAATTTGGATGACCAGATTTTAAGAATCAAGAAATAGAAGAATTATAACCATCTAGGGACTACTTAAATCCATGAGCTTCATCCTTGTACAGTGGTTCTGTCATTCAAAGATAGGAAGTTTGATAGCTCTTACATCTTGGCTCAAAGCAAGTCTATTTCTAGCCCCTTCGCCCTTATGTCCTCAAAGCCCTGATGTTGGCCTAAAACTGTGAAGTGTCTGCACGTACATAACAGAACACCTCCTGTGAGAACACTCCATGGAAACCATGGTGCTGCGCCCAGATGGTGTGACCTTGTGTGATAGACTACTAACAGGTACATACCGTGGCTGCATGCTGGCTCCCACAGTGAGCTGTGTGTCTACACTGAATGTCACACCTGTTTGGTGTTTTATTCCAGACTCAGAGGACAATGACCTTGAGGTCACTGTTGAGGGCCTTGAGGAGCATGCCCCCTCATTACCGCTGCCTTTGCATCAGCCACCTCATTGGATGGACTGCCTTCCTATCCAACATGCTCTTCTTCACAGACTTCATGGGCCAGGTAACAGACATGTCTGCACACGCGCTTTGTCTCACACACCAATCGCTCCATCAGCACTTGTGGAGCTTCTGAGTGCCTCTAGGATGGGCACAGTAAGAGCTGAAGAGAGAGTACCGTCAGGGAGCTGGCTTATAGACAAGTTCCAGAGGGAAGTTTCTACACCCTGCACAGTTAGAGGACACTATGGGACCAGTACTCAATCAAATACAGCAAATAAGGAAAATTTGAGGTGAGCTGTAGTGGTCACAGCAGGCTTAATAAAAGAGGGGCAGTGTGATTTGGGTCTTGAAGGCTGAATAGGAATTGGAGACGGAGGGGATGGGAAGGAAACATTCCAATTGGAGATAGGACTGGCATGTGTGGAGATGAGTCTGAAGCCTGTTGGTTGTATCAGAATAGGGGTGACAAGGTTGCCAAGTCAGGTGGAGTCAGATGTTAGACAGAAGGAGGGATGTTCAACATTTGAAGGATGTTGTTTAGATTGGATGCAATAGTCGTTAAGTCCTCCTGAGGGTCCTTGAGCGAAAGGATGTGAAAGGCGTGAAAAGGATGAAAGGGCGATGCAGTCATGGGGGAAGAGAGACACAGAGAACATGAGAAGGGATCCTTACCAACCCACACTGGGAACTCAGCGGCCCCAAATCTCTCTTGCAGATCGTGTACCACGGGGATCCCTACGGTGCCCACAACTCCACAGAGTTCCTCATCTACCAAAGAGGGGTGGAGGTTGGATGCTGGGGCTTGTGCATCAACTCTATGTTCTCCTCGCTTTATTCTTGTAAGTAAGCCTCCTCCTCTTGAGGGTCTTCCTAAGGGCTCTGGTCTAGCAGAATCTTGGATTTTATTTTTGGTAAATATATGGAGATCAGGAAAAACCTTTTCCCTTAGAAGAGACCACATCAAGTAGCCTTTTCCTAGTGAATCCTGGGTGCCATTCTCCACAGCAGTTACCATGTACTTGGAATCAGGGGGCTCCTGATCAAGATACTTTGGGAAATAAGAGGAAATCTTGGAAACAACATGGTAAAGTATTGGATGCATGAGGGATCGTCACAGCCAAGATGGTTGATTAAAAGCAGGTCTGGGTTCTGCTGCAGTGAGATCACCATGGGGTTTCATAGGTACACTTATCAATCTTGACAGAAAATAGGAGGGATGGTTAATATGATAGGTCACAAAAGTAACATATAAAAAAACTTCAGCTCCGATTGGTAGGGTGATATGTTATAGGAGCCCTGTTCCAGATTGAGAAGGACAGCTTTTCTTCTCAGGCATCAGCTTTCCATGGGGTCTATTAATTTCACCCCCCAACCCCAACCTTGGCTAAATTTATCTATGGGGACACTGTATTCAAAGGGATTTCTGGGATTGGGTTTGAAGTGAAGTGAAGAGAAGTCGCTCAGTCATGTCCGACTCTTTGCAACCCCATGGACTGTAGCCTACCAGGGTCCTCTGTCCATGGGATTTTTCAGGCAAGAGTACTGGAGTGGGTTGCCATTTCCTTCTCCAGAGGATCTTCCCGACCCAGGGATTGAACCTGGGTTTCCTGCATTGTAGGCAGACGCTTTACCGTCTGAGCTACCATTTCAAAGGGATTTCTGGGATAGGGTTTAACTATGTCCAAATGGATGTCCTCTAACTTAAGGGCATCACACAGGCTCATTTTGTGCTTGCTAATTTGTATGGAAATCTCTAAGTGAGATTGAGTTAAATGAAAACTCAGACCTGTAAAATGTATGCAGGTCCCTCATTTGGAGTGGAAATTTGGAAGCTTCTTCCATATTGTGGGAAAAATAGCTAATCCCCAGGGCAGAGGTCCAGGCTTTGGACAGGCCCAGGGGACAGCAGGGTTATGGCCCAGGTGGGAGAGGGGGAGGCAATGGAGAACAATCCCTGGTACCATTCCCAGGGACATCATTCTCTCACTGAAGTGTGCTTCTTGTTGAGGAGGAAAGTAAATGTATAGTGTCCCCTAGCCTGGCATTTAACCTTTTGCCCAGCCATAACACAGCTGAAAACCTGTTTTGAGATCAAGAAAATCTCTTTAAAGTATAGCACAACTGGGGAAAGGAGACCTAATATAATCATATCCATGAACCCCATAATCATAAAACCATAAAATTCATTATTTTAAAATTTATGGTAACGAAATACTGGTAGCTTGAAGCTTACATTTCCCTAGCAAAACCCTTTTTCCCCCTTGTTGTTTACTTGCTGAGCTATGTCTGACTCTGCAACTCCTTGGACTGCAGCCAGGTTCCTCTGCCCTTGGGATTTGCCAGGCCAAGAAAACTGGAGTGGGTTGCCATTTCCTTCTCGAGGGGATCTTCCCAACCCAGTGATTGAACCTGACCCTGCATCTCCTGCATTGTCAGGCAGGTTCTTTACCACTGAGTCGCTAGGGAATACCTTTACCCACCTTGGGCTTCCCAGATGGTGCTAATGGTAACAAACTCGCCTGCAAGTTCAGGAGAAGTAAGAGACACAGGTTTGATCCTTGGATCGAGAGTGTACAAATTAAGAAGAAGAAGAAAAAAAAAAAAAAACTTGCAGGAGGACAATTTCAAATACCTAGAATCAGGGAGCATTAGACTGAAAGGATTTAATAACTTATCCATCTCATTCTGTGCTTTCAAGAAGTGGGGCAACTATTTACTACCATCCTCATTCTTTGAAGAGGAAAATATTTTTCTAAAAGTGGTTAGCCTTTTAATTACAGGTTCCTCTGCCCTTGGGATTTGCCAGGCCAAGAAAACTGGAGTGGGTTGCCATTTCCTTCTCCAGGGGATCTTCCCAACCCAGTGATTGAACCTGACCCTGCATCTCCTGCATTGTCAGGCAGGTTCTTTACCACTGAGCCGCTAGGGAATGCCTTTACCCACCTTGGGCTTCCCAGATGGTGCTAATGGTAACAAAGTCGCCTGCAAGTGCAGGAGAAGTAAGAGACACAGGTTTGATCCTTGGATCGAGAGTGTACAAATTAAGAAGAAGAAGAAAAAAAAAAAACTTGCAGGAGGACAATTTCAAATACCTAGAATCAGGGAGCATTAGACTGAAAGGATTTAATAACATCCATCCCATTCTGTGCTTTCAAGAAGTGGGGCAACTATTTACTACCATCCTCATTCTTTGAAGAGGAAAATATTTTTCTAAAAGTGGTTAGCCTTTTAATTTTATGTCAATTTTAACTTGTTTTCCTCAAAGAATCCCTCCCAGAGACCCTTCCATTATCTAGGTTCAGTTCTTACATGAATTTCATGGCTCTTGAAAACTCAAGAGCATGTTATTTTTAAGGACCTTTCTACTTAAAATCTCTCTGTACAAGAATTCCTCCTATTTTAATAGTTTTTGAAAGTTATATTAGTGTATAGACCTGTGATATTCCTAAGATGGTGAGTTAGAACTAAAATATTCTTTATAAAATACCAGGCAGCCCTGCCTAAAGATCTTCAGGGGCTCCAATAAAATGGAGTGAAGATCCTGACCTTGGTGCTCCCGGACTCACCATCTGGCCTGGCTCATCCTTGGACCTCAGTCACTCCCAAGCAGGAACCCCCCCAGTGACTCACTTCCCAGATGGTCTCATGTCTCTGTATTTGTTTTTGGTTTCTTCTGCCTGAGCTGCTCTTCCTCCCCCCCTACCCAGACCCAACTGCAGTATGCCCCTGCTTGGGCCGTCTCTTAAGTCTTTCCCTCTGCACTCCAACCCACTCTGGGCAGAATAAATCATTTGCCGCAATTCCAGAGTACACTGGATAACCCTGTATTTTGGACTCCTCACATAACACCAGGTTGACCAGCCAGAATTTCTATCCAGATGGACTTTGGTAGGGCAATCTGGCTGCTGGGTTAAGAGATGGGGGATGGTGATAAAGGACTGTTTTCAAGCTCCTTTTATACAATAGGTACACTTAGATCAATGAGTATAGCCACTCTGAGTACTGAAATATAGCCAGTTGTTCATAGCATAGACTACTATTCAAAGCTGGGGCCTAAACCAGTCATTTCTCTCCAACCCTAAGGAGAGGCACAACGTTATTTAGTATCAGACACAGCAGAGGGCAAGCCAGCTTGGCCCTGACAGTGACTGAGTTCTCTTCATAAATAAAGCATTCTTTGCCAGATTTTCAGTCTTTGTAATGAAGTTAGTTATGTTTCCAAATATCTTTTTATCACCTTTTGCCTTCTTCCTGGTTGGCCCATCTACTTGGTGAGAGCATTTACCTAATGAATACTGATGTTATCTTTCAGGTACTGAGACAACTTATATTCCATTTTCTGCATAAATGTTATCATTAAGTACACTAAATTTATACTGCTTTTATTCTCAGCCTTGACAACACCCCTCCAAGCATGGCATGAATTTAACAGAGGAAGCAGTGTTGTTCCTTTAACATTTTTGGAATTCCAAATGGATAACAATGTAATACATAATGGATACAAATTTAATTTGCCTGCAATGCAGGAGACCCTGGTTCAATTCTTGGGTTGGGAAAATTCACTGGAGAAGGGATCCCACCACTCCAGTGTTCTTGGGTGGCCCTTGTGGCTCAACTGGTAAAGAATCCACCTGCAATGAGGGAGACCTGGGCTTGATTCCTGGATGGGGAAGATCCCCTGGAGAAAGGAAACGCCACCCACTCTAATATTCTGGCCTGGAGAATTCCATGGACTATAAAGTCCTTGGGGTAGTAAAGAGTCAGACACGACTGGGCAACTTTCTCTTCACAAATTTAGTGCATAATTGATATAATAATAATACAAATGGGATACAGATGAGGTTTCTTGTCTGTGCAATGTAAATCCAATAATTATTTGAATAGATATGGGAAATTTCACTCTTAAGTAGGCACATTTCTAGTTTCTATCATTTATCTATCTCCTGGGTTCATTTGTTCTAGCAGCATGGGGCAGAGGAAAGATAAGAAAATTATGGATTAAAATAAATGATTAAAAAAGGAAGATAAAACATTCTTAGGGATTTTCCCTACTGTGGTGGAAAATATAGGAAAATATTTTAAAGCAAAATTTTCAATTTTTAAAGAATGAGCTCTACCATGAGTCTTTTATGAGCAAGCCAAGTGTACCTGCTTCGAGGAGACCCCAGTGAAAAGGCAACCATATTCAGCAAAGTCTGTGTTTTTGGAATTATGATAGATAACCAATGTTAACTTGATGTCTTCTCTGTGCTTGGCATTCGGCTGGGGGATTTCACAGCTATCTTACTTCATTTGATCCTAGTAACAACCTCCAGCAAGGATTTTACTAGTTCCATTATTCTGATCAAGAAGCTGAGGTTTTGGAGAAGTTGTAGAATTTGTCCAGAGTGTGAGGGTGCCAGCGATGGGGAGGTGCCTGGCACAGCGTTGTCCCCTGACCGGACTGGGAAGGGCTGGCACATCAGGGCCAGTGTCTGCAGGCGATGCACCTTCTTTACTTCCTTCTCAGGTTGTGAAGACAGCATTCGGGTGGGGCGGAAAGACCGAATGACTCAGCTTATTCCATAAACTCTGGTTATGTTCATTTCCTCCAACCTGACTTTGGGTCAAGCTAGACCTGGATTGTCATTTTGGTCCTGCTGGGATAGATCCCTGTGAATTAGAAAGACCTGCACGTTAATGCATGTCCTGCCACCCCAGGGTCCCATAGTTGTGGGCTTTTCAATCATCTCTTCTACATCTTCTTATATATACAGCTGCCCACTACATAGTACCTGGTCCTTCCGTGCAGAAAAGAAAATCAACCCAGGAAGGCAATCTCCAACTCTCCTTTATGCAAAGGATTCAAAACTGATTCCCAAAGCCGGCTGTTTTTAAGCACAGATAAGGAGGTTCTTTTGTTCCTGACTCAATATCAAAGTAAAGATTTAAAAAAACAAAAGTGAATCTTCAAAAGCAAAGGTTGTCTGAAATTATGAGATGGTGTGAGGCACTGCCAGCTATAATTTCTCCCTCTCTTCTCCCCACAGACTTTCAGAAAGCTTTGGTTCCCTGCATTGGATTAAAGGGTCTTTACTTTATGGGGTATTTGCTGTTTGGCCTGGGAACAGGATTCATCGGGCTCTTCCCAAATGTCTACTCCACCCTGGTCATGTGCACTTTGTTTGGAGTGATGTCCAGCACCCTGTACACGGTACCCTTTAACCTCATCGCTGTGTATCACCACGAGGAGCAGGTGCGTGGTCGAACCTCAGTGCTGAGTGACATCTGGAGCCACTTGAAGGCGGGGGGACTTGGGAAAGTGTAGAGCAGAGCTGGAAAATAGGGGTTCTTGAAACTGCAGCACTAAAATGTCCAGCCAGATGCTATGATGGCCTGGCCAAGGCATGACCACGTTCCCAGCCCACCCCCTCCTCCTTACTCTGAAGCCCAGTGCACTTGGGAGCAGTTGGACAGGCTCCATTACTCCCATTTGTGAGATTGGAAAAGGGAGGGTTGGTAATGCTGAGAAGCCAGCCCACAGTCACACAGAGACAAAGTCGGGGAAACTCTGGGCTCATGGCACGTGCCATGCACCTGCAGCCATTTCTGCGTGCTACAGCGAGGGCCCCGGCCGTCAACTGCTACAGAGGTCCAGTGCCATTTCTGGGAGTTACTGGTTGAGCAATATTTTCCTTGGAAATGGGGTTTTAGTAAGTCAGGCCCAGTGTGCAGGGACGAAAGCTGGTGGCAGATGGTTAACTTTCTAGCTGCCTCAAGGGAGGCCCGCCTCATCTCCATTTCCATCTGGGAATTCAAGCCAGAGGGCAAGACTCCACGTGGCCCTAAAAAAGCATTAGGTCGGGGACTTCTGCTCTAAAATGACCACCTTTTCTTTCAAAATATGCAACTTTCCCCCTGAAAATAGGCTTACATTTCCTCAACTGTAAAAGCTAAAGAGAACTATTAGCTTAATCCATCCCAGCAGGAAACTGCAAAAATGCTGAACACATGTCCATGTGACTAGAACACTGGTCTTCTTTTTCATCATTTGATCTGGCAAGTGCAGTGCGGTGAGGTTGCACTAGCAGTTAAGACCTTTAAACAAGAGTTGTAGCTGTCCTTACCCCTGGCAGACATCATCACTAATGTTTCAATGCATGGCAGGCACTTAGGTGCTAGAGATACAGCTGTCGTTGAGAACCGCCCCTCCAAGACAGAGTTGGATGATACTAGGTCCCATATACAGAGGCTATGGACTCAGAAGAACCTGGATTCAAATCGTGCCTCCCCCATTTGGCAGCTATGGGACACTGGGGAGTCATAAAGCAAAAAAATAATCACTCAGTCATATCCAATTCTTTGTGACCCCATGAACTGTAGCCCGCCAGGCTTCTCTGTCCATGGAATTCTCCAGGCAGGAATACTGGAGTGGGTTGCCATTCCCTTTTCCAGTGGATCTTTCTGACTCAGGGATCGAACCTGGGTCTTTTGCATTATAGGCGGATTCTTTACTGTCTTTGTCACCAGGGAAGCCCAGAGATCTTGTCCATTTATTTACTAAGTGTCACTCAAAATGAGTTCATTTTTAGATGGGAAATACAATGACATGGTTCAGCAAGCACAATGATATGCAAGCGTGAATCCAGTGGCACCTGCCTACCTCTCCCTCCACTCTTTTTCCCTATTTCCCCTACCCCCTACCCCAGGCTCCTACATGTAGCCAGTTTCTTCAGATTTTTGTCTAACTTTCTAGTATTTTTAAATGAAAATCTATCAATTATGAATTGCATTTTCTCATTTTCCTTTTCCTATTCAAAGGATACTATGCATTTTCCTGCACAATGATTTTTTAAAATTTAATAGTGTAGGAATTGTCATTCAGACTCATAGAGCCTTAGTTTTCTAATCAAATGGGAATGACATACCCACCTTATAGAATTGTTGGAAAATTAAATGAAACGAGATAGTATAGGTAATCTGCTTAGCATAATGCCTACCTGGCACCTTGCAAAGACTCAAAAAATGGTAGGTGGTAGTAGTATTGTTATCATGAGGTTAATGATAATATGGGCCTCCCTGATGGCTCAGATGGTTAAAAAAAGAAAAAAAGTCTGCCTGCAATGCAGATTACTGGGGTTCAATCCCTGAGTCAGGAAGATCCCCTGGGGAAGGGAATGGCTACCCACTCCAGTGTTCTTGCCTGGAGAATCCTCATGGACAAAGGAGCCTGGCCGGCTGCAGTTCATGGGGTCACAAAGAACCGGACATAATTGAGGGACTAACGCTTTGGGGCTTCCCTGGTGGCACCATGTGCCTCTGGAAAGGTGGTAAGTTTCATTCATTTCATGAATGAAACAACGTAAGTGAAAGAGCCTTGCCCAAGTCCTAGCACATATATGATACTGGATAAATGACAATGCTATCAGCCAGTTCAGACCAAATGTCAAATAGTAATCAAACATTAATCTACTAACCAAACAACAACCCTATTTGAAAAGGTTGAATTGCTTTTTTATGTTGCCTCTCCTAACATATATCTGTGATTCAACATCCTCCTAAAAGTGTTTGAACTTTCAACTCTAAGGAAGGGATGAAAAGGGATATTTATTATTTCTAATCCATTGTATTTATTGAATGCTTAGGAAGAGAGAATTTTGTGTTCTTAATCATCTAACTCCCATAGTTAATATTCGAGATTTTGTGGCAGGGAGGGGGGAAAGGCAGGGGGTGGAGCTTGAATCAAATAGCAGCGTCCTAAGGCTGTGTTGGAACTTGTTTGTGTGCCGTGACTACTTTGGAACTGCAACGGCCGAGTCATGTGTTTGTAACCACAGCTGCAAGTATCTGTCATCTGGCTTTCTAAAGAACACGTTTGCTTGCTGACTCTGCCCTACAGAACAGTTGGCATAGATCAAATGCTGTCCCTGTTCTTGCCTTGCAGAAGCAACGGGCCCTGGGCGGGGGCCCGGACAGCAGCGGCAGAGGGCAGGGCCTGGACTGTGCTGCCCTCACATGCATGGTGCAGCTGGCTCAGATCCTGGTTGGAGGTGGCCTGGGCCTTCTGGTCAACACGGCCGGCAGCGTCGTCGTCGTGGTGATCACGGCCTCTGCGGTGGCACTGATTGGCTGTTGCTTTGTGGCTCTCTTTGTTAGATATATGGATTAGGTCAATAAAGAGACATGGTCCCTAACCTCAGACACAGTGGAGCACATGGCATGAAATCAATCTATATTTAGCTTTGTGGGTTTTTTTTTTTTCTGGATTGAAGGGCTTTAATCAAAAGTGTATTGCACCACAAATGAATTTTCTACAGCAGTTTTAGATAACAATCCCTATTTACAACATGGAGGGTGAGATCAAGATCCGAGGCTCATATAAAGGGCTCTATGTACTGTAGCACAGAACGTTCTATACAAGTAAAAGTGCATGAAATCACTTCAGAGTGTTTACTCCACTCTTCCTCTTAAAGCTGAAGGAGATTCAACATGCAGGAGGAAAGGCTAATCAGAACAAGTCCCCCCTGTGCAAGTACAGGCCTAGGAGGGGGCCCACAACTGTGTCTAAAACTGCTGGCGGCTGTGGGGAGGGTGGCAACGGGGGTGTGGCGGGGGACGAGACCAGCTGGAGGGCTGCAGACGCCACAGGGGAGTCAGCGGGGCTCCCACAGCTGCGCTGGGATCGCCTCTGGCAAGCCCTAACTACCCAACTTAAGGAATTCTTTCCTGGAACAGCTGGAAGAGCTACTTCCCACTTGTCAAAGTGATGGAACAGAAGGGACTCCTGGTTTGTGTCCCCCCCCCCCAGATAATGAGAAACGGCATCCTCGGGTCGCATCTGCTGGGGGAGCTGAACCCAAACATACGAACAGGGAAAGGGAGTTGAGAAAAGCCAGCCTCACTGAGTTGGCTCTTCGTAGCGGAAGCAGGTGGGTCTGCCCTGCAGGGCAGCATTTCGAAGGCCTGTCTGTCCAGCGTCATCACCACACGATGGATCGGCTGCCTCCTCTCTGACACAGGCTGAGGGCTTCAGCTTTAAGTGCTAATGTTGAAAAGATTCAGGTGCAGGTGGGTGCTGGCCAGAGATGGGATTTTAGCAGCACTGTGGCAATGTGGGTTGTGCCAGGGCTCTCCGGAAACCAGGATGTCAGGATCAGCTACCTCCTGAGGTTCGTATCAGTCTGCAGGAGTGGGCCTTAAGTCTTGTGAACAATGTTCAGATGCTTTGTGTTTTTTTATATCTGCCCTTTGGATGCCACGTGTTATGACTTCAACTGCAGTAACTGCCCCTTATTCCCAGCCAGCCCTGTTCACATCAGTCTCAGTATTTCAAGCATGACTTGTTTTAGGAGAAACTGGGCCATGCCACCAGTCACTGGTGGCAAAGGGCAAGTGTGGATGACAGCACCTCCCTGCAACCTCCCTAAGTCACTGCAGTGGAATGGTGAGACATGGTCTGTTTTCCATAGGGCATTTTAGGCCTCGATGAAACCAGAGACGCCGACTAACACACACTTGTGATGCTGTAATTTATCCTGTGATGTGATTTTTTTTATTTTTATATTTTAACTAGGGATCCATATATAGTCTGGAATGTTACATTTTTCATCCAATGCATCCTTATGCAAAATAAGGCTGGTGATTTGAGATATTAATTCATTCATATTCAATTCATACTTAACTCACTCATAATTAATTCATGTTAATTTATACTATCCCTACAAGTCTGCTTGAACATCTCATCCTAGAGGATTTCCCACTTTGAAATAGCCCATCTTATTGAAATAGTAAAAATCTTTCTCTCTAGCCTGCACATTTGTTCAAGCCCCTGGGGTCTCACTGGAAGCCTTTCAAAGAGCTGCCTCCCGTTTCTCCTGTAATCCTCTTTTCTCCAAATGAAGCAGCATTTCTCAGCCATACCCCTTGAAGTTCATGATGGCAACATGATTTAACAGAAAGATTGTAAAGTTTAAAGCTGGGCTGGTTTGGGATCCTGGCTCTGCTGCTCCCCAGCAAACTACAGAACCTCAAAAGCTGCACTTGTTCATCTGTACATTTGGGGTAATATTGAGTTAGCCAAAAAGTTCATTTGAGATTTCTGTAACATCTTATGGAAAAACCTGAGGGAACTTTATGACCCACCCAATACTTCCTACCCCAGAGAGTGGTGACCATTTGTAATATCTAAGCCTTATGGAGTGCTTACCACCATTCTCAGCATTTTACCCATGTTAACACAGCAATCTTGGGAGAGGCTGCTGCTGCTGATCTCCATTTTCTAGATGAGGAAACAGAGGCAGAGAGGTTTATAGTTCTCCTCTGACGCTACACAGCTCCAAAGTGGCAGAGCTGGGCTTTGAACCCAGGCACTTGAGTTCTGCTGTTTCCTATAAGAGCAGCACTCGGGCTGGAGGCTGGCTGCTGGTCTGCACTTGATACATGACAGTCATTGTCATTATTTTTTAAAGGCTCGCCATCCTGCTTCCTCAGGCCTAGATCTCCCTATCACCTGTCCTTCATAAATGTTTTCTATGTAATTCCAGATGTGCCTGAGTGGTGCAGAATGACTTGCCCACGTGTTTCTCCAAGTTAAAACATGTTATGTGAAAAATAAATAAGTAAATAAAACATGTCATGTGGTTCCTTCTCCTGCCTTATCTTAGAGTCTGGTGGTGTAATCGCTGCCTCAGGTGAATTTCTAGATTACGGAGACTTCCCGTGCTGGAAGAGAATTTGGAGACACGAAACGAGCTGCTTTGAGAACAAGGACACGGGGATTCAGGCTCTTTTCTGGCTTCCTGGTGCCTAGCAGAATGGATGGTTCGGTAGTGTGGCCAGGAGCCTGCAGTGTAGGCTCATTTGGGGAAGGGGTACTGCAAAGGAGAACTGTGCTCGGGGGTTCTTTGGGATCCCTTTCACAAAACCGCTGGGGAAATGAGGGGTGCAGGTCCATTCCTAACGTTTGCATTTGCAGGGCCTGAGGTAGAGACCACTGATGAAGGCCCATCCCTTCTCCCACCCTTAGCCCGTCCAGCACTGTGAGGGCCTCTGTAAGCACCTTGACATCTGCACGTCCACAGCCTTCCCACCCCCTACTGTTTACCACACCTGCAAACAGTCACCCTTAACCTCCCCTCACACCTAAGGGTGCACAGACTCACAGCGGTGTCTTCCACCTTCAAGAGGAAAGGACCCATGAAGCCCTTAAGAGACTCGGAGCCATTTAGAAGGGGAATTTGACGTCTTGCATACTGAAGCATAGTCTATGCGGTGGAGGTGCGGGGCTCAGGCTCCAGACAGCTCCATGGATTCCTTGCTATGTGGGAAGGGGTACAGGTGGGAGTGGGGGGTTGAGCAGCGCTCTCTAGTATCAGACCTGGGGTGGGGGTCCTGGCTGCCCAGGTCTGATGGCTCCAGGCTGCAGTTCTCTGTGTTGTTTCCCTTTTAAGAGCCTGATCTCTGCTGCTCTTGGGTTGTGGCTGGGGCAGTGCTAGGGTGTGGGGTGGTATTTCTGGGATACCCCTATGGATCTGGGATCTTCTAGTTTGTGTAGGGTGGGGCAGGAGGGGAAGGAGGGCAAGCCTTACACCAAAGTGGTCATTCCTTCCTTTCCCCACCCACACTTGCCACCTGCAGAACACACACAGCTTCTTTATCCAGCACCAGGTTCTCCGGGTTCCCGCAGTTTATCCCATTTTCTCCAGATTAATATTTTCCAGACTGAGCTTTCTTCTCAGACCTCAGTGTGCTGTGGCTCCACTGATCAACGTCTGAGCCTTGCCCCCCTCCTGGGCACAGTGCCCCTTATTTTCTGTCCAATCCAGGCCCGCTCCCTTCTATCAGTGTGTGTGTGTGTGTGTGTGTGTGTGTGTGTGTGTGTTCTGTTGCTTCAGTGGTACCCAACTCTTTGTGACTCCTTGGACTGTAGCCTGCCAGACTCCTCTGTCCATGGGATTCTCTAGGCAAGGGTACCGGAGTGGTTGCCATGCGTTCCTCCAGGGGATATTCCCCACCCAGGGATCGAACCCCATGCCTTTTGCGTCTCCCACATTGGCAGGCGGATTCTTTGCCACTAGCGCCACCTATTGGAATGAAAGTGAAAAGAAAAGTGAAAGTGAAGTCGCTCAGTCCTGTCAGAGTCTTTCCGACCCCATGGACTATAGCTTGCCAGACTCCTCCACCCATGGGATTTTCCAGGCAAGAATACTGGAGTTGGTTGCCATTTCCTTCCCCAGGGGAATCGTCCAGACTCAAGGATCGAACCCTGGTCTCAAGCACTGCAGGCAGATTCTTTACTATCTAAGCCACCAGGAAAGCCCACTATTGGAATATACATTCACAAATGAAATTATTACATTCACCAGCAAAAAGATTCCATCTTCCCCTGTCTTCCTTCCTCCTTCTCCCCTTCACGTTATCCATCCAAGAGCAGCAAGGTCATGACTGACTTAGAAGAGTGCCCAGGGAGGACACCTGCTCCCAATCCCACACAAGACCCCTGCCCTGGGCCTAGGATGAGAATGAGCCAGTGCTCTCAGGGCCCCATGTGACACAGGAAAGGAAAGTGAAGTCACTCAGTCCTGCCCGACTCTTTGAGACCCCACGGACTGTAGCCCACCAGGCTCCTCTGTCCAGGGGATTCTCCAGGCAAGAGTACTGGAGTGGGTTGCCATTTCCTTCTCCAGGGGATCTTCCCGACCCAGGGATCAAACCTGGGTCTCCCACATTGCAGGCAGATGCTTTACCGTCTGAGCCAGCAGGGAAGCTTTTCTACATGGCACAGCACACAGCCTTAAGAAAGAAACAGGCATCCAGCCACCTCTCCTGCCTCACCGACCTATTCTTGACCTCTGCAACATTTGGAAATGGAATTATTTGCTGAGTTCAACACGTATCTTCTGGTCAATTTTCCAAGGACCGCTCTGTTGATTAAAGATTTTGACATGAATGACTGGGTGGGCTGGGAGGGTGAACTGCAACTGAAAACTGTCTTCCCTGGACCCCCAAGAAGTCAAGAATAGTCATCTGTGGCCAACCACAGGGCATGGTCTTCATTACAAGTGAAGCTCTTTTCAGATGGAACACTAGGCGGGCTATGGGATGGAAAAGGGAGCTAGAGCACACAGATTCTCTCTCTCTCACACATACACACACACTCACACTCACACTCACACTTAAGTAATACTTTACTCCTTGAACTCAACTTATTGAGATTTGAATGAGCAGATAGAATCCAATTTTAAAAGTCTTTAACCACCGTAAAGGCTTTTTAAGGCTTTTAAAGTCTTTTAATCTACCAGGGCTTCCCCGGTAGCTCAGCTGGTAAAGAATCTGCCTGCAATGCAGGAGACCGTGGTTCGATTCCTGGGTCAGGAAGATCTGCTGGAGAAGGGATAGGCTACCCACTCCAGTATTCTTGGACTTCCCTTGTGGCTCAGTCGGTGAAGAATCCACCTGCAATGTGAGAGACGTGGGCTCGATCCCTGGGTTGGGAAATCTCCTGGAGAAGGGAAAGGTTCTCACTCCAGTATTCTGGCCTGGAGCATTTCATGGACTGTATAGTCCATGGGGTTGCAGAGTCGGACACAAGTGAGTGACTTTCACCCTCTCTTAACCACCTTTAGGAACTTAAGTACTTGTTCTTAGTATACCAATGACATATCCTCTCTGGGACAAAACTGTCCTGTTCCCAGACAAATAAAGCAAGTGCAGGGACATTTACATTCTTCCTAGAAATCCCAGTAAATCCTGTAGAAGAAAGGGAAGCCACATTGCTTTGCTTCTCCCTCCCCCACCATGCACCTGGCACTCCAACCTCAAAGCCTTTGATCACTGAATTTCCCCAGCTTCAAATGCCCTAGCTATGCACCTACTCTCTGTCTCAATTGCCAGATTGCCCATCTAAATTGTATTCATATTCCTAAGAAAGTGAAGTGAAAGTGAAAGTCGCTCAGTCATGTCCAACTTTTTGCAACCCCATGGACTATATAAAGTCCATGAAATTCTCCAGGCCAGAATACTAGAGTGGGTAGCCTTTCCCTTCTCCAGGGGATCTTCCCAACCCAGGGATCAAACCCAGGTTTCCCACACTGCAGGCATATTCTTTACCAGCTGAGCCACAAGAGAAGCCCATATTCGTAGGTCCATCTCACATACTGCTTTGGCCAGGAAGTCTCTGATTCCCCAACAGAATCAAGTTTTCATCCCTGTATTCCTATAAATAGCATTTCCTTTTGACCCTTACTATGATATTCAAAAGCAAGGAGATCAAACCAATCAATCCTAAAGGAAATCAAACTTGCATATTCATAGTAAGGACTGATGCTGAAGCTCCAATACTTTGGCCATCTGATGTAAAGAGCTGACTCATTGGAAACGACTCTGATGCTGGGAAAGATTGAGGGCAGGAGGAGAAGGGGGTGACAGAGGATGAAATGGTTGGATGGCATCGCCGATTCAATGGACATAAGTTTGAGCAAACTCAGGGAGATAGTGAAGGACACAGAGACCTAGAGTGCTGCAGTTCATGGGATCAAAAAGAGTCCGACACAACTTAGTGACTGAACAACAACATGACATTCAACTCACTATCCCATGACTCACTTGCCTCATGTACATGGTACTGTCCCCTTCTAAATGTCAGGAATGTGACCCCAACACTCCACACAGAGCTAGGCACACAACAAGCATTCAAAAAAAAGTAATAATTTGATGATCTCAACTGGATTTGACCATTTCCTTGTTGATGCTTTTGTCCTTGTGTAGATAGAAGTTTTGGTCTTGGCTCCCTCTAGCCCTGTTCTTAGAAGTCCACAGGTGTGGGTAGGGACAAGGTGACTCTTTTCATAGAGTTCTTTCATGAAGTCCTTGCCCCCACCCCTTCTCTTTTTCTAGTGCCCATCATATCAGAAGTACACACTTCAACATATTTTCCTAAAAACCTTGGGCAATCCACACATTGTTTATTGTCAAATTCAAAACAGCAAGTTGCTTAATAAAGAGAATATCTCAGTAAGTGTTTAATGTCAGTGTAACACAGAGCTACACTATCATGCTACTATTTGTAGATGTTTACTTGTTCATTTACTTTATATTTTGGAGACTTGTGTTTAAAGTTCAATGTTTATTAGCCCATTGGTTCTCAATATCAGTATCAATAAATTTTCATCCTAAACAGCAAAGAGAGGCTAATTTGACTACTTTAAAACAAAAGCATTATTCTGTTTTCTGAAAAAGCTACCTTCTTTAAGGCTGCTCAGGATTTAGGAGGTCAAGCAGCTTTTTTGTTTGTGGCAGGGTCTTAATTTTTGCACTGTGTGTGTTACAGAAAGTGGGACAGGAACGCTGGAGCTATGGAGTTCACATTTTGAGCCTTAAATCTCAGAGAGTCCTGGGAATTTCCAACAAAATCACAAAGTAATTTATGGTTCAAGAGGCTATAATAGCAGACATGCTTGTATAGTGATTATTTATGGTATGAAAATAAACACACCAGTAGGTGCCCACATTGCCTGTTTGTGATCGCAAACTAGGTCGCCAAAGAGAAAAACAGTAGCACCTCTGTCAAAACTGGCAGCTGGATGGGTAGATCACTCCATCCCGCCCTCTGAGCAGCCTCAAGAAAGGACTATACTGCTGTGACCAGAACAGAATCGTCATGAGAAATGTGTCACCCTTCAGAAGGTCCCATAGACTGGGGGTTACGGAAGAATTCATCATGTGTGTCAATGCGCTGAGCACTCTTTAGAATGAATGGAACTTGATTAAGGTGGAGTCCTATGAGAATTCTGATTCTTGCCTTCTCTCCTCAGTGTTATGAGCAATAAGAAACCCCACACCTGAAATCCTGGTACGTCACCCAGAACAGACTCTCCATACTCTTTCCCCTTCAGCACAGAGTTTACTTGAGTCTCCCATTCCCCGTCCCACCCCACAACTCCTCTGGAACGATCGGCCTCCGGCTTCCGGGAATTTGGTGTTCAGGAACCACGTTTCTACAGCATCTCTTGATCTTCTATCTAAGCCTACAAAAAACGCGGCCTAGTCATTCCTCTACTTGCTGGTCTAGAGCCTCAATCAAACACGCTTTCTGATTCCCAAAGAGTGAGAGGGAGAGGCTGCAGAAAAGTCTCCACCCCCAGTGGTGTGTCTCCTCAGACCTGTTCAGGCTGCTCCTGGGCACAGCTCACCTGCAGTGCACGGACCCGAGCGCACACAGCGTCTCCAGGCACTCGGCAGGGCTCTCAAGGGAACTCAGACGCCCAGCTTCCAGCGCAGGGCGCACTCACTTGCTGCTGGGGTACCAAGAGAGCACGTTGGCCCCCCTTCTCCTTAGGGGCCGTCAGCCTGAAGAAGTCTCTCTCGTCCGCCTCTGTAACCTCATTGAGTCCGCTCGCTCTCTCAGGGAAGCCACTCCCGGGAGAAAAAAGCTCTAGTACATGGGAGCGTTTTGGTTCCCGCTACCCTTGAGCGCGAAGGCAGTGCAGAGTCCCAGTCCGGCTCCGAGTCTGCGCACTCTCCCCGACCCAAAAGATAAAGCATACGCCTCACGGGAGGTGGCTCTCTCTCGGTGCATTTCTCCTGCGGGCGCAACAAGATTGTCACTTCTTTCTTTCAACTCCGAAAAAGTTTCCGGGTCCCATACTTTAGGCCTGACCGCAGCCAAGCAGCAGATCAGACCTTTGTGCCCTGGCTGTCCCAGACCAGGGCGCAAAGGTTTTGAGGGTGGCTCCCCTGGCTGCGTGCACCTTGAGGACTTTTTCAAGAGCTGCCCCCCCAAAAATTTTTTTTCTGTAATACATGCGCTCAGCTGTCTGCGCACCATTTGGCTGAGGCCACTTCCTTGCCCCCGAATTGCTCTACATTCCGGATGCCCTCTCCTTCTTCTGGGCGCCCTACCCAGCCCAGCGTTGATAGCCTAAGAAGAGGAAGATGGTGCGTGTAGAGAGAAGGGGAACGGAGGCTGACGGCTTGGGCCTGTAAGGCTGAGCTCGGCCCCATTGCCAGCTTCCTCTCTCCGCCTGGGTTCGAAGCCTCCCCTCTCCGGAGAAGGTCCCCGACCTCTTCTTAGGCTGCTCCTTTGTGCTCCGCTCCATCCCCTCTCCCCTAAACTCTCGATCCGGAGGTCCCCCTAGCATCCCTTCACTCTTTTCCGCCCAGGAAAAACCGCTTTGCAGTTGGCGCGCGCCCTGGGCTTCGGCTCGCGTCAGTAGACGGAGCTGCTGGGCAGCAGGTCGTAGCGCCCGCCGCTGGAGACCACCACGCCGGGCGGGTAGTAGAGCAGGTCAGGCTCCGCGGCTTGGTGGAGAGGCGCCAGGGCCTGCAGCCCCTGGTCCTCGGGTTCGGGCTTGGTGGTGGCGGTGAAAGGGCGCATGCTGGTGAGAGAAGGCGACGCGATGCGCCACAGGAGGTTCTTGAGCGCTTTGCGGAACTCGCGGCGTACCAGGCAGTAGAGGATGGGATTAAGACAGCTGTTGGAGTGGGCCAGGCACACGCTCACGGGGAACGCGTACACCTGGCCCAGGAAGTACTCTTGGCTGAAGGGCACCACGTTGAACTTGATGAGGATGCTCCAGGTGGTGAGCGCCTGGTTGGGCAGCCAACACAGGAAGAAGGACAGGACCACGATGGTCACTGATTTGGTGACCTTGGAGCGTCTCCGAGCGCTGGCTCCGGCCAGGCCTCCCCCGGCCGCTGAGGCTCCTCCTTCGGTCCCAGCCACGCGGTGGTCGGAGATGAAGCGTATCAGCAGCAGGTAGCACAGGCTGATGATGCCTAGCGGCAGCACGAAGCCCAACAGCACCTTCTGCAAGTGGTAGAGGCCCAGCCAGAACTGCCTGTCGCGGCCCAGCAACCTGTCGGGGAAGCGCACCAGGCACAGCTCCTCCCCCATCACCTTGACCGTGGTGGAGAAGATGGCGTTGGGCAGGGAGGCCAGCGCGGCGGAGGCCCAGATCACCGCGCACAGTGCTTTGACCGAGAAGCAGCAGCTGTCCCCCAGGCTCCGGCCGCAGCAGTCGCCCCGGCCGTACCCTCGGGTCCGGTGGCTCTTAAGAGCCGAGGCCACCGAGTGGTAGCGAGCCACGCTCATGGAGGTGAGGAAGAAGACGCTGGCATACATGTTCATGGACGTCACTACGGATACGATCTTACACATGGCCTTGCCGAAGGGCCATTTGAAGTCAAGGGCGTTTTCCACGGCCCAGAAGGGCAGGGTGAGCACGAACTGGAAGTCCGTCAGCGCCAGGTTGGTGACGAAGAGGTTGATGGAGGACTTGCGCCAGCCCTGCTTGCTCTTCATCAGGTAGAGCACCAGCAGGTTGCCGGTCAGCCCCAGCGCGCAAACCACCCAGTACACCACGCTAACGAGGATGCGTACCCGGGCCTCGGGGTCCGCGCTCTCCGCCCCGCCGGCGCTCGGGGGGTGCCCCGGCGCCGCGCCGTCCGGCAACTCCAGCCCCAGCTCCCACCACAGGTCCTGGAGCTGCAGCGACACGTTGCCGCTGGAGTTGGCCGCCTGCATAAGGTCCGGGATCGGACCGAAGAGTTCTGTGAGCTCCTCCCCGCCAGCCGCCTTATTCATGGTGGCTAGGGCTGGTGCCGCGGACACCTGCCCGCGCTGGGGCCTCTAGGTCATGTTTCGGGAGATAAACTCCTAAGGGGAGTCCGGCTCTCCCGGGGTGTCGGCGCGCGCGGGGGCTTGCAAAGTAGCTGTGCAAGAGAGCGCCTAGGAACCGGGCGCCAGGCGCGTCCTCGGAGCGCCGAGCTTGGCCGTGGGCGTGAGAATGGGTGCCGAGCGTCGGTTCTGGAGGGGAATTCGAGAGTAGAGACGTACAGCCCCCAAGGCGAGCGATCGGCGCCTAAATGTTGTCTGGCCAAGGCTGGCGTCCGCGGGGTCTCTACTGTAAAGACTCAGACTTTTGCCCCCGGCGTTTCCCGCTGTCACTTGGGCACTAGCGTGTTCCCTCCCTGCCGCTCCAGACCGCTCCTGGGGGCCCGCTCTTTTCTCTTTCAAATACCTTTGCGGGTTTCCTCCGCAGCTGCTCCGACGAGGTTCCTGAAGAGAGTTCTGTCTACCTCGCTGAGACTCTCTGGAGGGCTTTCGACGCCGGCCTTGCTGCCTCGCATCTCCGTCTCTCCGCTGCTGTCGACTCGCAGTGAGTTGCCAGCCGCGTCGCCGCGAGTTGTATCTCCACCGGCACAGCAGAGGCTGCGGGTTCCCGAAGAGCATGCGTAACCCCAGCACCCGGAGAGGGGGCGCTTTCCGAGGTGCTGAACTTCTTCGCACGCGCCGCGAGGGGAGGGAGATGGGCTGCGCCGCACGCTGAGCCCCGCGGGGCCAGTCTCCCCTTTCAGATTCAAAAGTCATAAAGCCCTTTATTTCCCTCTGTTGCTGGAGAAAGTCGGCTTTGATTTGCGATCGCTTTTCCTTCCTCATCCCCCAACATAATTATGAGATTTTTTTTCTTTCTCACTTCCAAATGCACAATCTTCTGCCAATTTTTCTCTTTTAAAAGCAACGGTAGATGTCTCTCTTCATGCCCATACATTAAATCAGGTGGTGGGCTCTTACTGAATATACAAACGCCAGCTCCACTTCCCCTTACTAATCGCTGACCACTTTAATTGGCGTCTGTGGTTGTCAGGATTTTCAAAGCGTCTTCAGGTAGCAGACTCGGTTCGGATGTTGCTATCTGCTTTGGTGTATTCTGAGAACTGAAGCTAAGCAGAGCATGTAATTGGTGCGCTGACTGCACAGGCATTAGATGCTTAGCTCTCAGCCCAGAGCTCTCCAACAGATTGTTTACTCACATTCAACCACACTCTCTTTACTCCGATGCAGTTGGAAAAGAGGATTTCATAGAGCTGTTTTTTGGCACCAGTACCCATACTACTAATATAATCAGAACTCTTAACCAAGTGTTGTTTGCTTGTTTGTTTGCTTCAGACCAATGGAAGTAAATTTTAAGGACTCTTCTAAGTTCCTTTGGGCAAAGGGAATCAATATAAACCATTTGAGTCACTTCTTAAATTGCAGTTTATTTAAGTGCCAGATCAACTGCTCTGGTGTAAAATGTACGCTTCTTAGGAAACACTTAAGAAATTAGAAATGTTTTCCTCATTGTGCTGGACTAAACTGAAACAAAAGTATATTAAAAGTAATTGTCCTCACTCTTGCAGAGTAAGTAAAGTCAATACTTACAGAGATAAAAAAGTTGTGACTTTTAAAGCAGAGGAGATAGAAAAGCCTACTGAAAAAGAAACACGGTATAGCTCAGTTGGTAAAGGATCTACCAGCAATGCAGAAGACCCCGGTTCGATTCCTGAGTCAGGAAGATACCCTGGAGAAGGGAAAGGCTACCCACTCCAGTATTCTGGCCTGGAGAAGTCCATGGATTGTATAGTCCGTGGGGTCGCAAAGAGTCGAACACGACTGAAGGACTTGCACTTCACTTCATGCAAAACAAAAGAAGAGAAAAGGTAACATCTTGATTCCAAAACCGGAACACAGTTCCAGAGAACACCTTCACTATAGTCTCTGGATTGCTCCTTTTACCCGCTAGGGGGCGCAAGAGTTTTAATAAAAACAAGTGTTAGTCGCTCGGTTGTGTCGGACTCTGCAACTGCATGGACTGTAGCCCGCCAGGCTCCTCTGTCCAGCGGATTTCCCAGGCAAAAACACTGGGGTGGGTTGCCATTCCATTCTCCAGGGGATCTTTTCGAACCAGGGATCGATCCTGCATCTCTTGCATCTCCTACGTTGCAGCTGGATTCTTTCCCACTGAGCCATCGGGGAAAACATTTTAAACCAAACCAATCCACGTCCTTTGAGAAGTTGTGATCTGCAGAAACTCAGCCCTTCTCTGAACCAATATGACACACAGCTGCTTCTGTGTCCACCTCTTATCCCTGCATAAGTAGCCTCTTCTTAAAGCTCAGTTCTCACTCCAATTTTTACTAGCTCTTTCTCCATCAAATTTTTATTTCTCCTTTAGTTGAAAAAGTTTGAAAATATTTCAGGGTGCTGTTGAAAAACAAGGAACCCTAGGGTATACCCTGAAAGCCCTAGCTTTTAACTCAAGATACTAGATGTAAAAAAATAAATCCAAAGAAAGAAGTATATGGAAATGTTAAAGATAAGAGCAGAGATACACTCAAGCCCCTGGTATGTCAGGGATTAACCTTCTAGTTATTGGATCCTAGAGAGATGAGTGGAGGGGGTCTCAAAAGAGGACCAGAGCAGCCCCAGGTAGGGTTACTCAGGGGCTTGGGGCAGAAGTGAAGCATTAGATATGGAAGTATATGGGCTTTCCTGGTGGCTCAGTGGTAAAGAATCTGCCTGCCAATGCAGGAGACAGGGCTTCGATCCCTGATCTGGGAAGACCCCCTGGAAAGGAAACAGCAACCCACTCCAGTATTCTTGTCTCAGAAATCTCACAGACATAGAAACCTGGCAGACTGTGGTCCACAGGCTCACAAAGAGTCAGACATGAATTAGCAAGTGAACAACAACAACAGTGAAAGAATATAAACATTCTTAAAAACCATTATTGTCGAAACTTCCTTGGTGGGCCAGTGGTTAAGACTCCACCCCTTCCCATTCAGGCGGCCTAGGTTTGATCCCTGGTCCAGGAACTAGATCCTGGATTCTTCAACTAAGGCCTGGCATAACCAAGTAATAATAAAATAATAGTAATAAAGCAGTAACTTCATATTTGCTCATACCACTTGAATATGATGTTTTCTCATTATGGCCCCACCTCCTATTTGACCTCCTATTTTCTTGTCAGCTTTTCCCCATGAACTACCACGTCCCCAACGCTTGCTGATTTGCACTGATACTACCCCACAGGCCACTCCCCATATTTTAGTAGGCAACCTCCTATTCCATTTCTTTGCCCACAGAGCTCTCTTTGCCTAAAGGGACATTTCTCTCTTATCTCTGTTGCCTTACTGTTGACCTACTAATTGTTCTTCAAGGTTCAACTCACACATTTCCTCTTTGAAGGATTTTACTATTCCCAGTATTTCCTAGAGAGAATTAGTCCCTCTTTCTGTGCTCTCCTATGACTTTGTATAAACATTGATTTTAGTGCTTATTACTGTCTCAGACACAAAATAAACTAGCCCTCCTCTAAACTGAAAGCCTCTTGAGAACTATAGCCCATATCTAATCCATCTTTGTACCATAGTGCCTAGAAAAATGCATGCAGTTTGAACCCATGGATGAGTCATTAATCCCATTTCTTTACTGATCACAAAGATTCATTCAACAATAAAAAGGCAACTCCTAGTTGGAGTATCCAATCTGTAAAGTCCATGGCAAAGGCTTCTTCAGTCTTTCTCACATTCCGCATATTCACAGCTTGGCAATTGCCATTCTCAATGCATAGAAAATGATGTTTCCCCTAATCTTTGCCCTCAGGGACCTCTCAAATCAGGGAAACAATGCCATTCTTTTCTTTTTTTTTTTCCATTTTTAAAAATTGAAGTGCAGTTGATTTACAATGTTGTGCCAATCCCTGCTGTGCAATAAAGTGATCCAGTTACACACGTATAGACATTCTTTCTAAAAAATTCTTTTCCCTTATGGTTTATTATAGGATATTGAATATAGTTCCCTGTGCCATACAGTAGTACCTTGTTGTTTATCCATCCTGTATGTAACAGTTTACATCCACTAATCTCAATACAGCTCTTAGTCAAATGGTTAGTGGGGACTTGTTTTTTCAGAAGATGTTAAAACAAAGCTGGATCCCTTCACAGCATTCTGCAGGCAAACAATGTCACATTTCATTATTTTTCTGAATCAACTTAAACCTGGCTTAAGCTTCCCCCTGACTAAGTTGGAGGGAAATCAAGACAGGTCAAATTTAGGGACTTCTTGCTCTTGATGGGGTTCTATCACAGGGTTCATGCTGTCTGGAGAAGAAAGGGGAATCCTGGTCTTTAGGCCATGCCAACACACATGCCGTGGTGGCCTGTCCAGAAGGGGCCTAACATCTGGGGACAGCTGCACTGGAAGTTTTCCCAGGTGATGCTAGGGGTAAAGGATCTGCCTGGGTTCAACCGTGGTTCGATTCCTGGATCAGGAAGATCCCCTGGAGAAGGAAGTGGCAACCCACTCCATATATGTATATATCACATTTTGTTTACTCATCTGTTGATGGGCATATACGTTATTTGCACTCTGGCTATTGTGAATCATATTTCTGGAACATTGTGTACTGATATTTGAGTCATTGCTTTGAATTCTTTTGGATACCTACCTAAAAGTAGAATTGCTAGAGCACATAGTTGTTCTATATTTAAATTTTTGAGAAACTGTCAAACTGTTCTCACCATGGCTACACTATTTCACATTCTCACCAGTAATGCATGAGAGTTCCAATTTCTTCACATCCTTGCCAACATTTGGCATTTTCTTTTTAAAAAAATTATAGCCATCCCAAGTAGGGAGCTTCCCTGGTGGCTCAGATGGTAAAGAATTAGCCTGCAATGCAGGATACTCAGGTTTGATCCCTAGGTCAGGAAGATGCCCTGGAGAAGAAAGTGGCTACCCACTCCAGTATTCTTGCCTGGAGAATTTCATGGACAGAGGAGCCTCGAGGGCTGCAGTCCACAGGGTCACAAAGAGTCGATAC